TGAATAGAGATAAATACTGTTAACTGATGGTACATGGAGGGAATTACAATCATTGTAATGAAACAAGGTGTATGATTTGTTGAATGTAAAACTGATGATCTGCCCTGTAAACTTTCACTTAATCCACAATAAAACCCTAAAAAAAAAAAAAAGACATAGAATGAATGGGTAAGGGAGGAAGAGTGGGATATGTACCACACAAACATATATGAGTTTGAAAGAGAATATTTTTACATAAGTATTTACCTTATCTACAAACACAATTATGAATGTGGTAGAGCATGTTGTTTTTGTTGTTGTTAGGTGCCATAGAGTCACAAAACACAGCCCAGTCCTGGGCCAATCTCACAATTGTGGAGCATACAACTGGCAAAATGATGAAAACTTCCTAGATATTATCAAACATCTTAAAGCAATGACTTGATGGGCGTAGGGGCTCAGGATCTCTCAAAGGACATGGTCAATTGGCATAACATAGTCCACAGGGACAATGTTCTACATCCTACTCTGGTGAGTAACGTCTGGGATTTTGAAAGTTCATGAGCAGCTGTCTAAGGTGCAGCTATTGGTCTCTCCATGTAAGAAAGAAGAGTGATAAGACCAGAAGAGGCTTGGAATCAATTAGGACTAATGGAATATGTGGATGTTAGTCTCCATGGCTCTGATTCCAGAAGAATTAGACGTTGCCTGGCTACCATTAACAACTACTCTAAAAGGGATTACATTAGAGAGTCCCAGATAGAGTGAGAGAAAATATGGAATAAGACTCAAAATTATTTTTAAAGAAAAACTGGATTTTCTGGTCAGAAAGAGATTGGAGGAATCTGAGACTTAGGGCCCTTAAGCACCCTTGAAAGTCTGGAAAATAACTCACCCTTGAGGTCCTATTTTCAGCCACGAAGTTGATCGGTATATAGGAAGGGACAATAATGGTAGTAAGGTATGCTCACCATGCAATGGTCAATTATTCAAAGTCAAAAGGGCAATGTTTTCCTAAGGATAAAGTTGAGAAGGGATAGGAAGAAGGGTGGAATGGAAACAGGAACTACAGGGAGGAAGAGGAATAACTGCTGATGCATGGAGGGGATTGCAATCATTGAGATGAAACAAAGTGTATGATTTGTTTAATACTGATGGTATTCTCTGTAAACCTTTAGTCAATTCACAGTAAAAAGTTAAAAAAAAAAAAAAATCTCATAAAGCCAAAATGCAGTGTAACATATTTTAGTTTAATGAAGTTTATACTCAAGAAGCATAAAGGGAACGGATGATGAGCTCAGGCACAAACTCCACACAGGACAATGTCTATCTGGGTCCCTTCTTGGCTTGAAAACTCCAAAGGAATGAGATCATGCTGTCACCAACCCTGGGGAGAGTGGAACTATTACAGAAAGATGTGGTTAGGGCAGGGGAAGTTTCTACAGTCCAATATCAGATCCCAGTCTTGGTACTTGATGCAAGAGCACAAGCTACTGCTGGTAGTGGTCTGTACAAACCTAGTTGAGGAAGAAGACAATGAACTGCCCACCCTGAGACTCTTACCCATGGAGATGCTTGTGCTTCCAGACTGAACACCTTTCCCAACAGTGGTATACCCACGGCCTTGTTGGATGCTTTGTTGGATGCCTTGGCCACCTCTGTTGCCCCTCCAACCACCTCTGCCACTACTGTTATTGCCTCCAACACTGATGATCTTGTTGCTGGACATGTGCTTGACCACAGCTGCAAAGAAAGCAAGCTACTCATTCACACCCTGTTGAAATGGGCATTACATGCCAATCCCTGTTTGAGGAATGAAGGCAAAGAAAATACAAGAGCGATGGGAAAATGACTATCTCATGAGAGTTCCCTACTAAATGAAAGGCCCAGAACACATACAGGACAGGACATCCAGATAAGCCTTACCAAAATAAGATTCATGCATTGCCCCTTGTGCTCCTCCCTTTGTGCTACTCTGGGAACTAGGCTTTTTTAAAAGTAATTTATGGATAAGTGAACTGACACAAAGCCAGGAGAAATCATCTCCATCAATAGAAAATGAGTGTACAAGATACTCACAAATATACACTGGGCTCTGGAACTCCCCAGATATCCTGTTTAGAAAGAAAATGAAGATCAGGGGGATCTCCTGGTGAAATTATCTAGCTGGGATCACCTCTTATTGGAATTAGCCCTGGGTGTCAGACTGCAAAGATAGAAGCTGCAGCATCAGAGATTTAGGTTAAACATGAGAAGAAAGCTATCTGGGATGAGGATGCAGAGAATAGAGATAAATGTCTCTAGATATTACACTCTGTGCCACTGGGACCATTTTACCTCATTAGCAAAACTTGGATAATGTATCACAACAATGTAGTTTGCTGTGATGAGTAAACTAAACCAGGTGGCGTGCCTAGCACTAGTACCTGGTCCATACTATATGTGACATATCATGATACCATATGTATCATCCTTCTGGGTTCATGGACACCATCCGTATCTGAGTGGCTTTTCTAGATATGCATAGCATCCAACTATGCAATGGTAACATAAACAGAGATGGGAAGGTGAGGAAGAGTGGCTGGTTCCGAGAGAAGGGAGACTTTAATGTAGAGCTTAGGAGCAGGGGAACACACATGGTAAAAATCCAACAGATAGACTGGAAACCTAGTCTCCTAGGTTGAGTTTTTACAAAGGAAACAATTGAACTTACGAGAAATGGGGGATAAATATGTATATATTTATATATCTATGGTGGTGGCGGTGGTTATAGGCTAAGTACTCAACCATAAGTTCTGTTTGAACCACAGGTCACTGGTTCAGACTCACCAGTCACTCCTTGGAAACCCTATACAATTGTTAAGTGCTGTTGAGTCAGTTCTAACTCATAGTGATGCAGGATAGGGTTTCTGAGACGGTAAATCTTAATGGAAATAGAAAGCCTCATTTTTCTCCTGCGGAGCAACTGGTAGGTTCAAACTGCTGACCAACGCATAACCATTACACTACCAAGGCTCCTATTTTATGTATATATGTATATATATACACACATATTATCTTCCCTGTTAAGGTCAAGGACCACCTAGGACCCAATTTGAATTCTCCATCTCACCAGTATTGGCTGACATTTGTTCTTAGGGTGTACCATATATCTGCTAGAAATTCATAAGTGTACTACTCTAGCAACTATTATAGCATTGGTTTCTCTGAAGCCAGAGGAAGAATAATGAGCAGTACAGTTCAGTTTATTAAGATTTGATGAGACCGTTAGTCCCATGTCTACATTGTTCTAGAGCCTGGCTATACCAAGGGAAAGTAAACCTAGGGACAAAAATCAGTGCAACACAGTGGGTCTAACCAAGAACCATACAATACTACAACACTTGGTTCTTAAGTTAGAGTCTCTGTCTACCTGCACTCCTCGCCCTCCAGCATCTTCTGGTAGGTGGCAATCTCCACATCCAAACCTAGCTTGATGTTCATCAGGTCCTGATAATTACGGAAGAGATGGGCCAGGTTCTCCTTGGCCTGCTGCAAGGCTTCTCTGAATTCTGCCAATTTGGTTTGGGCATCTTTGAGGGTCAACTCACCCCGCTGCTCAGCATCAACAATTTCTGCCTGCAGGTTGGCATTCTGAAATAAAAGGGGGAAGTGTTCTGAGTCTCTGAATACATCTTGGGCATATTGCAAGTGAGCATAGGACCCATCTGTTTCCCTTAATGCAAATCTCTAAGCTGTGTGCTATGTGATTTGAGATACTAACCTCTTCTGCCCATCTTATTCATATCCGTGTAGCTAAACTATACTGGCAAATTCCAAAGCTCATTTGAGACGTTAGCCAATTGAATAGCTACTTCTCAATCTGTTGTTGTAAAGTGCCATTGAGTGAGTTCCAACACAATCTTTTAGAGAGGTATAATCCATGGTCTGATAGTCCAGAAACTCAGTCTTCAATATTTTACAATTTCTTGAGTCCATGCCTACTGGAATGGGGGAAGATGCTTTCACCTACCTTGAAGATGGTGGGCGAGATCATGGTAACTGAAGACCTTGCTATGTTTGGTAGCATTTGGAAAGCTCCATTATTGAAGGTTCCACCCCACTTCCAGAGTCCAGGTGCTCTGCAAGCACCCCAGTGCACCACTCATCAGAGTTACAACCCCAGGCTTTGGGTGAGCTGCACTCACCTGCTTGTTGACACTCTCAGTCTCTGCCCTCAGCCTATGGATCACCCTGTTGAGCTCAGCAATCTCATGCTTGGTGCTCCTCAGGTCGTCGTCATGCTTGCCAGCCATGGTCTCCAGCTCCTCAAGTTAGAATGGGGGTGGGAAACATACAGGGAGAAATTACTCATGACCTTCAACTGTGTGTGTGAGAGAGAGAAAAGAGGACTATAATTGCAACAAATCCAGAAAGTTCTAATGTCACATGACAGTCCCCCAGGCATTTAGAGTGGAGAGGACCATTTAACTGAAACTTACTATACTTACTATACAGTTGTCCTTTAGGATATCAGGCACTGGAATGAAAAAACACTACAACGACTCTGCAAGTTATGAGATTTGAAAAAGAAATATCCGTGGGTTTTCCACTGAATAAAATATATTTTCTTTGGGATGGTTCCAAGAGAAGCTGGAAGTGAAGGAGTAGGAGCCCTGGGGTCCATGATGCGATGACCGTATTTACCTTGGTCTTGTACAGGGTCTGGGCCTCAGCCTTGCTCTTCTCAGCAATCTCTTCATACTGGGCCTTGGCCACAGTGATGATACTGTCCAGATCCAAGTGTCGGTTATTGTCCATGGACAGGACCACAGAAATATCACTGGATTCTGATAAGACTTGATTGTATTCCTACACACACATAAGGGAGCATCATTGGGTAGTTGTCTTCATCTCTCTGGGATGCCCTGAACCTACCATCCATGAGCTCAGGAGTGTCATGGGGTCGAGGAAACCAAACTTTACTGAAAGGAAAGGAAGGTAACCAGACAGTGATCCAGCGAAGGCAGGACACTGTTTCGCATGCTCTCATAGGTTATCCTTGATAACTCTCCTCTTAGTCTCTCCTCTAACATTTCCCTTGGGACTTTGGACATGGAGATCCTAAAGGCATGACTAGCAGATGCTGGCTGTCTTGAGTCTTAGGAAGCAGAAGAGAGAAGGTGGGCAATATTATGGGGGTTGTTGTTGTTAAGTGCTGTCAAGTCAATTCTGACCCATAACGACCCTGTATAGGGTTTCCAAGGCTGATGAGCTTGAACCACCAACTTTTCATTTCAAACAGCTTTGCAGTCTGGCACATTAACCCACAGCACCACACCAGGACTCCATTATGGGGGTAGTGGGAAGGAAAAAACAAAACAAAACAGGTGCTGTGGACTCAACTCTGACTCCCGGTAATCCCGTGTGCTCCATTAGGGTTAATGGCTGATTTTTTGGAAGTGGACCACTAGGCCTTTCTTTGAAGACACCTTTGGATGGACTGGAATCTCCAACCTTTCAGTTAGTAGCCAAGCATACTTCAACTATCCGCATTACTCAGTATTGAGGGTGGGGAAGAGGGTAAAATGGGAGAAATGAAGAAGGAATATGAATAAAGATGGGAAAGAGTTTGCATATGTTTGATGCCAACCAGAATTCACAAAGAAGCTAAGCCCCAGAATCCAGCAAGATTTGACACCTAGTTTGTGGCTTACACCTATAGGAAAGTTCCTTACAGCTTCATAAATGGCTTTCAGGAAGTTAAACTCATTGGTCAGGCTCTCTACTTGGATTTCCAAGTCCACTTTGGTCATATAGTAAGTATCCACATCCTGAAAGTAAAGGGCAGGAATTCAGTCTTAATAGCTTCAATGTAGATACAAGCACATTTAGTAATGTTGATACATGTTTGCAGGAATCAGGAAGTGACATGACTTAACTTGCAGTAGAGAAATTTGACCACTGAACTCAGTATTAGAGAAGTTGTGTTATTATCATTTTTATAATGTGGATGATTGTAATAGTAGTTTATCAGACATTTTGCCATAAAGTGATGTACTGAGGGCTCAGAGTAGTTTTGTTGTAACTGATAAGTGAACCATACTTCGGAGATATCTTAGAGTCAGTGAAAAAAAAAAAAAGTCCTCAGACCAGAGATTCAGTGGTGAGACTGGCCCTGACTTGAATGAACAACAACAACAACAACAACAACATAGCACTTAGAAATCCTGCTCCAGAGAAAGTGTCTCCAATTTCCCCTTTCTTTGGTCCATCTGCTGCCCTCATAGCCCCACTCCCACACTTACCTTCTTCAGAACCATGAAGTCATTCTCAGTCTCTGAGTGCTTGTTAATCTCATCCTCATACCTACAAGGAAGTAGCCAGGGCATCTGAGCCTAGGGTAGGTTCACATATTCAGGAAAATATGTTTCTCTCAAGACCTGGTGGCTAACCTGGGACAGGACTGTTGCTAAACAGACCCTACTTAATACCAGCCTTAGGCCAGTTGCGTGGTATGTGGTATTAACATGGTAGGGCCTTTAAGTAACTTTGGTACTCCATTTCTAACAATCCAGGAAAAGGAGATACAACTCTAATAGAACTGAAACACAGAACTGAGGCATAACCCCAGGTGTCCCTGGTCCTCTGGAATGCATATTCATACAGGTCTTTGGATTCTCCACTGCTGGGAATTACCCTAGCCTTCATAAGCCAAGGCCTGCGGTCACTCCCAAGACTTCTGTCCTCCTCAGTTTCTCCCTCCTCCATCTGTGTGCTGGGAGCATTTCTAACCAGGAATAGGACCTCACTCTGTCTTAGTCTCCCCTTGAAACTTTGTCCCACTAAGGACAAATACATTTTTAAAGGGTCCTGAACCTTAACAGAACATTGAAACTACTTGGGATCTATAGAATATGTTTAAAATGCTGATGCCTTGTTACATACCCAGGCATTCTGATTGAATTGGTCATGAGTGAAACCTGGACATTCTGGACAATGTGGACATAGCCAAAGTAGATTCTGGTAAAGCAGAACAGTTTGAGATCCATGGCTGTCCGATGCCACAGTGCCTGAACATTGCCTCTGTCTGATGGGGAGCCCATTAGATACCCATCTCTGTGACAGATATATACCTCATGCTTCTTGGCTCCAACAATAAAACTCAAAACAGAACACATCTTCTTTCAGCACACTCCCCCTTAATTATGACATCCCATCTTACGGTGCCTACAACCTCAGAGACCTTGAGAACATACACTGACAGTGCTCACCTGGAAAGATCACATACCTTCAGAACTGAAACCTCCAACCTAGACCCAGCGGCTGTCCCCCAGGCATCTCCATCACTTACCTCCTCTTGTACTCCTGCACAAGGGCCTGCATCATACCCAGCTCCCCATCCAGCCGGCCCCGACCCATCTTCAGTCTGCCCAGCTGGGCCTGGAGACAGCCAATGTAGGACTCAAAGAAGGGATGCAGCTCATTGGCACTGGCCTTGGAGGTGGCTGTCTTCTCCTGCAGGAGGCACCACTTGGTCTCCAGCGCCTTGTTCTGCAGCTCCAGAAAGCGCACCTGGCATCAACCACAAAGCAGAGGTCACAGTTTGTCCCAGCTCCCACTCATGAGCAGACTCAAGCCCCAAGCCCAGCCCCGACCCATGTTCCCAGACCACCAAAAGGCCTCACCTTGTCAATAAAGGAGACAAATTTATTGTTGAGGGTCTTGATCTGCTCCTTCTCTTCGGTCTTCACCTCCCCAATTAGAAGGTCGATCTCTATATTCAGAGGCTGCAGTAGACTCCGATTGATGGTCACCTCTTGGATGCCCAGGGGAAAGCCCCCTGGACTCACAAAGCCCCCAGCTCCATAAGAAATTCCCCCAAAGCCACCAGGTCTCCCTCCAGCACTTCCGAGCCACCATCCAGGCCTCTCCCTCCAGGACCCCCAAAGGTACCAGGGCATCCTTGCATTGATCCCCCAACCCAGGCAGCTCCTCTAGCCACACTGAGTGGCAGCTGCTTGCTGCCCACAAGATTATGCAGACTCCTTCTGCCATAGGCACCCCCAATCATGGCAGAGGCCATGGGGACACTACCTCCCCCAGAGCATAAGGCTGACTGGGCCCTGGGGGAGCTGGGGTGGCTTTGGCCAGACACCACAATGGCCGAGCAGCCACTGAAGCCCTTGGTGGCCTGGGACAGCCTGCTGGACTACAGGTTAATCATTGTCTGTGGACGCAGGAACTCGTCCTGGTTCAGAAAACCTCAGCGGAAAGGATACCTTCTGAGGCAGGAAGAGATGTGACCCCTTTTGTGGGTACCAGGTGAATTGACTCATTAATTTGATGGTTTCCTGAGCTTCATTCTCTGGTTAAAATTAATCCTCACATCAATTTCTTCCGTTGTCATCCTGGAGTCTCCACTTCATGCCTTTCCTATAATTCACTGTGTACAGACTCTGTGCAAGAGCATAACAGACCCTCCCTTCATGAATGGACTTAGTTCCTGCCAGGTCTGACCCAGCCTCAAGGCCCCAGGGCACCAGCTTGTCAGAAAGCTGAAGGTTCAATTAGGTGAATCTATGACTCTTCATTTCCCCCAAAACCCTGGGCGTCCACCCCTGTCATTCTGCTGCCCTCTTCTAAGAGCGAGCGAGCCTCACACAGGAATCTGAGGCAAGTTTCAGAGGATCAACTGAAATGCTGGATTTGTCCTACCTATTGCACAAGAGAGCCTTGGATGATCCATCCCTGGATAGCAACACTTTCTACACTTCTTCACATATTCCAGTAGCAGGAGGGGTGGGGTTAAGTTAGAGTGCCCCAGATGGACCCAGGGGCCTTAAGGAGTGGACACTCTTCTGAAATTTGGCATTGTTCACCATTTCAGATAAGCAGGAGAGTTTCCTGATGTCTGTCTCCCTGCAGCTTCCTGGTGAAGAGACTTCTCTTCCTCCTAATGTTCAGATTGGAATCCTGGTATGGCACTGTGGGTTAATGTGCTAGACCGCAAGGTCAGTGGTTCAAGCTCACCAGCCACTCCTCAGAAACCCTATATAGGGTTGCTATGGGTTGGCACCAACCCAATGGCACTGAACAACAACAACACTATTGTTCAGACTAATGTCCAGGCAGCCTCTGGCAGTGTCCTTCTTTCACATCCTGAACCCAGACTCGTTCCCCTTCAAGGGTCTCCTTAGTCTCCTTTTCAGGATGCCTTCCTCGAAGGCCCTGTGTATGGATTCTGCTACCTACAGCCTTTTCTGCCTCGCCCTACAATGATGGCTATAATCCTGTCCACCCACCAATGGGCACCAGCAGGGCAATACTGTATCTGTCTGGTACACCAGGGTTTCCCCATTATCCACTGCCTGATCCTTCTGGGTTCACAGGTTTTGTAGGCTGAATGACTACCCAGCTCTTCCTGCATTGCATCACCCTCTGTGTTGGCACCTGTGTGTCCCACCTCCATCATCATCATGGGCGAGGAAAGTCTTGTCCCTTTCCTACCCCAATCACCCCTACCCCAAGCTCAGGACTGAGCCCTGCACATGTGCACTCAGGATGAGGTTTGTTTACTTTTTCTTTAAAGAGAGGACTCAGCATAACAATGATTTGACTTTTTATTGTGATAAATGCAACCTTTTTTTTTTTGCCTTTCTAACATTTTTCACACATACAATTCAGAGCAGTAGTCATTTTTAGCATGTTGTTCAATCATTAACTATCTGTTTCCAGATTTTTCCATCACCTGAACAGAAGCTCAGTGTCCTATAAGCAATGAAACCCCTCTCTCCCTTCTGCCCCTGATAGCCACTAACACTTGGCTATTCTACATATTTCATTTAATTGGAATCATGTAGTATTTGTTTCTTTCTGATTGACTTAACCTCATTTTGCATACTGTTTTCAAGGTTCTTCAGGTTGGGTTTTGAGAGATAGGTGGAATAAATAATCTGCCATGTGTGGGGCTGCTTCTGTTTCCTGCTAAAGATGCTCACTTATGTAGCAAGTCCATTGAAGTTTATGCAAAATGCAACCAGCCACCCTCACTCATTCTTAGCCCCACCAGCCCCCTCACATTCCACCACGAGTGCTTGCCTTGGAAGCCTGGAAGACAGGATACAATCTTCCTGAAAATAAACAAAAGAAAGCAGAGTTCATGGACACTTCTATACTGGTAGTAACTTCAGCAGTATCGTGGCTACAAGGAGAAATTGCCAGAATCTAGCTGCCCTTGGTGAGTGAGCATGGGCCAAAAAAATAGATTCACACAGTAGGAAGGAAGGACACCAGTTAGGTCTCCCCAGCAGAGGATTTGAGAGAGTTGGGGCACCCCAGGTGGCTGTGACATTTAGTCTAGAAAGAAAGGAACTCTTGATTTGGTGCCGGGGGGGCTCACTACCCACTGGCCCAGTGCAGAGAAATGACAACTTGATCATTTGAATACCTTCTAGTTACAACCAACCAGCCAGTTGCCATTTCATCAATTCCAACTTATGGAGATCCCATGTGTGTACAGAAGAACTATGCTCCACAGCGTTTTGAATAGCTGATTTTTTGGAAATAGTTCACCAAGTCTTTCTTCTGAGGTACTTCTGGATGCACTTGAACTACCAACCTTTTGATTAGTAACCAAGTGCAATATTTGATGATTTAAAAGTAATAATCAAGAGACGCCTCAGGATGTACTATAAGTTATGGAACTCCTCTCTCCTCCAGAAGGTGCTTTTACTGAACTTGGAACAGATATATCTGCTCACAAGTCAGCCTCAGCATGAAGTTACCACCTTGCCTCTATCAACAGCACTTTGGAAACAGCTCTCAAAGATTTGTGGGAAAAGCAGTCATTATAAGATATTTAAGATGAACACTAAAGTTTAAGTAAGAGCAGCTCTGCTATATCATGTATGGAGTAACTTGGATTCTGTGATGAGACACTCAGAGGAAGGAGTGAATGATCTATCTGACTCTTTGCTGGGGCAAGGGACAGTCATGCACAGGTGGTGTCAGGAACTACCATGAGTCTACTATAGTTACGGCGTTAAATAGGAATTGTGGGGGAAGGCTTGTTAAGAAAATCCTCCCAGAAAAGGCATCTTGAGTTGATCTGATGTAGAAAATAATTAAGCATCCTAAAGGGACTTGTAGGAACCAGTCTGCCCTGAAAAAGTTACCACTTCACTCAAAGCTTGATCATCATTCTGAAGGCAACAGAAGGGTGCATGTTGTATGCACAGATACAGGGGTGTGTACCAGCCTGACCCATTGTGTGGGAGAAATTATGCTACTCATGGAAGCCTGGCAAATTGTGGTAGGGCATGAGTTGGATGTGGTTCACTTCTCCCCAAAGACCCACCCAGAATCTCTAGTTCTCCTTGCTCCATCATTTGCCCCTAAATCAGTCACTGCCAGCGTGTTCTTATGTAAATAGCATCTTCAGCAAGTTGCTTTTCTACTCAGAAAGTCTGTTGTAGCCAAATGAACTCCTTTCTTGGCCATTAGCACCCTCCCATTTCTACCTTTTTCCTTCTTCCTTCCTCTTTTCACCACTTTAATGCTCAGGCCCTGCCACTCCATTCAAGTCAATATTCTTGTTGCCAACTCACTTGCAAAGCCCACAATATATCCCCAAACTGCCTCTCCAACTCCTCCATCTACTACTCAATAATGCAGTGAGTAACCTTGTAAAGTGGTGAGCTTCCTCTCCCTGGAAGTGCTCAAATAGAGGCAGCATGCATGAATATTTCACATTTAATACTGTTAGCCTATCTACTGATATATTGCAATTCCTTTCCAGATTCAATCATCATTCTTTAAATAGAAAGAAAACTAATCACCAACTTTATATGAAAAAGAAAGAGACTCTGGATAAGCAAAGCACTACTAAAAAAGAACAACGTAGGAAGCCTAACACTTCACAATCTCAAGACCTACTCTACAGCCACCATAGTCAAAACAGCCTAGTATTGGTCTAATGGCAGACACACAGACCAACAGAACATAATTTGTTGTTGTTGTTGTTGTTGAGTGCCGTCGAGTTGATTCCGACCCATAGCGACCCTGTACAGTGTTTCCATGCATCAGAATCAACTAGAGGGCACCCAGAAATAAATCTATCCACGTATGGACAGCTTGGACTCCTGGTGTGGAGCTGTAGGACCAGCACTAGAATGAGAACCACAAGATCGGCAGTTCAAACCCACCAGCTGCTCCTTGGAAACCCTATACAGGGTCACTATGAGTCAAAACCAACTCAACAGCACTTAACAACTTACTATGAACAACTTAACTTTAATTTGACAAAGGGTCAAAACCATTTAATGGGAAAAGATGATCTCTAATAAATGGTGCTGTCAAAACTGGCTATCCACTTGCAGAAATATGATTTATATCTCTCAGCATATACAAAAACAAACTCAAAATGGATCAAAGACCTAAATTTAAACTTAAAACCATAAAGATCATCAAAGAAAGAAAGAGATAAATTTAGGGACCTTTGTATATGGCATAAACACACTATCAATCATATCTAAAAGCGTACAAATGGCAAAGACAAACATAAAAGTTAAATGTTTATGTGCATCAAAAGACTTCAAAAAAATCAAAAGAAAACCCACAGACTGGGTGGGAAGGGAAGTGTGAAATTGGCAATGATGTATCAGATAAGGAACTAATCTCTAAAATTAATAAACTACGCCAACACCTCATCAACAAAAGGACAAACAAACCAATTTAAAAATAGGCAGAATTTTTTTTCCAGTTATATTGTTGAAATAGTTACTGGTAACATTTTTGGTTGTGGATTATCTTCCAAACATGAATTTTCTCTTTCTTCTATTTGGATGTGGGGGTTTATTGCTATAAATTGCCCTCTGATCACTGCTTTTGCTGGACCCTGCAGGTTTTGTATGTTGTGATTTTGTTTTCATCTGATTCAAGGAATTTTTTTTTATTTCATTTA